TAACAAGTCTGCCACGTTTGTTCTGACCAACTGAGGAAAAAAGCATTACGATAAATCACACTACCAATGGTGACTAAATCTAAATGAGCTCATATCACATCAAACCGTGCAAATTATTATTATTGTTATACTTTATTCTCAAATTTGTTAATGTTAACAACATCAGCATTGCGTGACAATGAGTAGTGTGTATAAACGAGTAGATTTCAATTTCTGTACAGTCTAATCTCTAATTGTCATACCACATACCATTTCATATTAAAAAATTCTATTAACCCAAAAAGCAAATTATGCTCCCTTCGAACTAGCTGTCTTTATAATACAAATCTTGTGTAATCCCAGGCTATCTGTAATCAGAAGCACATTTAAAACTGGAATATAATTTAATTTCATTCTGTTTCATAAACACATAATCCTTTCTGGATTACAATCCGCCATCAAAATGATACATTTAATTATTCCATCTGCTGTGAGAAAAAGATCCTCACATGCGATAACCTAGTAACAGGTGTCCTGACATTTTATCCTACCCGTCAGATTGTCCTACGAGAGTTTACTGCGCATGTGCACATCAATATTGTGTCCTTTTTCTCACGCTGAACAACAATATTTAATGTATTTGCATTTCTGTAAGGGTAGGTGTAGACGTTAATAAACCGTAATTTTACAGGTAGCATTTTTCGTTGTCGAATTGTACTACCCACTGTTTTAATGGGAGGTAGCAAAATCTGACAGTGTAGCACAAATCGACAGAACACCGGGACAACTTCTTTATGTTTACAGAAGTGACGTAATGACGCAGCAGCATGCTCGACTTTCCCGCGAAAACCTGACACTCAAATTAGAAAACATTATTATAAGCTTACCGTTGTGAATCGGGCTAAAGTAAGGAGATAGTTTCGAACACTGGCTGGTTATGTACTTGCTCAAATATTGATCTCGGATCATTTTTAACCAAAAAAAAGTTACGGATTGCAGCTTTAAATTACACAGACAAATTTAATTCTCTAATGGGACCAAAGGGGAGCGTGGAATTGAACTAACGCAGTTACGCCATCTATCGGACAAATGCTAAAACAGGTTCCCTCAAGAACAAAATAACTTCTGTATACTTTAAATATACTTTTAACTCCAATAGTGAATATTAGTTCACAATATTAAGTATTTATAGTACTAACTGATATAATATTAGTGAGTTTTATCTATATTATGTGTGGTTTATTGGTTTGGCTGCTTATTTTTGTGTGGAACGTTAGTCGCAGATCTTGTTTCACCCGAGACTCAGTTTCAGATGAACAGACGCCCGCACATGATTCTGACACCTATAGCTTTGTATGCACATGTGAGATTGACAGATGGCTGCAAATTCAGAGAAAAAATCGAAAACAAACCGTGAGGTCGTGTTGGGCTTCTTAGAGGAGGCAGAATCATGGCAGCTTCTTAGTAACCAGTTTCCAAGTAAAGTCGGAGGGAGACCTTCGTGGTTGAGCCAGGTGGATTTGCCAACTGTGTCCGAGTTACAATGCGAGAAGTGTAAACTTCCAGCAGTGTTTCTTCTGCAGGTCTACGCACCAATAACGGAATATGATCAATGTTTTCACAGAACACTTTTTGTGTTCTGCTGCAAGACACCAGCCTGCTATATTAGAAATGACAACAAGTGTTTTAAAGGTAATTCATACGCTGTCATACTATTTTGAACAGAGCCTAGTGTTTTTTATGTATTCATATTTTAATTATATATTTACATATTTTAATGAAAGATTGTCTTTTTTTTTTTACTTATACCTCATGACGTTCCAAACGCCTATGACTTACTTCTGATTGAACATGATTGAAGATGTTGGTAACCAAAGAGTTTTGATTCCATTATGGACAAAAGTACAATAGAAGTCCATGGGAACCAAAACTGGTTACCAGCATTCTTCGAAAGCTCTACTTGTATGAAAGAAAGTCATACAGGTTTTAATTGAGGCTCATAATGCAAGCCTTGCTATAATGTCACAGTATTCTGTACCATTCCCCATTCCCAGTGTTCAGATGTCAGCTGCCAAGGAAAAATGACTTTTACCCTTTTGATCCTCCTCCTGATGAGAAGCCAGATCACCTAGTGAATGATCATCAGGTTCTAGGCTCTGGGCTCAAACTATGCAGGCTGTGTGGTTGTCTGGGACAGAAAGCCTGTTCTCGATGTCACTCTGTCACATACTGCTGTAAAGAGCATCAGACCATAGACTGGAAACACGGTCACAAGAAAGAATGCTCAAATGAGGGTAAGTGAATGCAGATTAGGACAATTTCTGCATTATTTCAACCAAGATCTAACATTAGCTTTAATCTATACCAGGGGTCTCCAGACTCGGTCCTGGAGGGCTACTGTCCTTCTGAGTTTAGCTCCAACCCCAATTAAACACACCTGAATCAGCTAATCAAGGTATTACTAGGCAAACTTGACATTTCCAGGCAGGTGTGTTGAGGCAAATTGGAGCTAAACTCTGCAGGACTGTGACCCCCCAGACACCCCTGATCTAAACGCATGTTGTCTTCATATCTGAATCCACAGCTTCTCAAAGCTCAGAGGAGCTCAATTCATTTCTCTTTCCTGAGTGGGAGTTGGTTACCGACCCGGAAGAGCTTCCAGCAAAAGATGAGGAATGCCATGAAGGCCACAGACTGGATCAGGAGAGCATGGCATGCTTAAATAATGGTATACCTTTCAGATCAGATTCGGCAGCTTGATATATCCACATCTTGACAAGGATTGGCCATTCACACTGTTTATTTACCCTCTCAGGTTTGGAGGACAGTGAACTAGAAAGTATGGCCCATCATGAAACACAAGACTCTAAAGCGTTTCAGAAGTTCAAGAAGCACTTTGCTAATGAACTACAACAGGTCAGTTACAAAGTCACTGTCTGAAGAGCAAATGCTCCACATGGCTTTTGTGTGCTGTGGGGTTCAACAGCTATGTGACTGTATATGTATTTTTAAGGTTTTGCGGTATTGCAAAGGAGGATCTCCACTTTGGGTGTCAGCTGAACATGTGCCATGTGAGGAGGATGTTCCAGAATGTCCATGTGGTGCAAAACGTCTGTTTGAATTTCAGGTAATGTAAAGAACATGTTAAATATAAAGAGCACATAGTCATGCATACACTACTGCTCAAACGTTTGGGGTCAGTAAGATTTGTTTTGAAAGAACACGGATGAATTAAATTGATCAAAAGACAATGTTACAAAAGATTGAAGCTGTACAACTGTTATAATAAATGTTTCAACACTTATAAGAAATCTTTCTTGAGCAGCAAATCAGCATATTATAATGATTTCTGAAGGATCATGTGACACTGAAAACTAATGACTGCTGAATATTCAGCTTCACAATCACAGTAATAAAACAGATTTTAAAATATATTAAAATAGGAAACAATTTTTAAATTGTAATATTTCACTTTTTTTTAATTTTTTTTACTGTATTTTTGATTAAATGAATGCAGCCTTGGTGAAAATTAAGATACTGAAAAATCTTTCCAACCCCAAAGTTAGTCATAAATGGCATTAGATTAATGCATTGCACTGTTTAAAATGTCACTGTCTATTTCAGATCATGCCTCAGTTACTTAATCACCTCAAAGTGGATAGGACAGATGCCAGCATAGACTGGGGGACAGTGGCCATCTACACATGTGCCGACAGCTGTGACCAAGGCACCAAATATTCTGCTGAGTTCATCTGGAAACAAGACTTTTCAGGAGATCAAGCATTGTAGAATTAGTGCAGTCAAATTAACTATAATTTAAACAATTGCATCAAAAATTACATTTATAATATTAAAGAAATGTGAACACTAAAGGCGTTGGTTCTTTTGTGGCACTCACATACACCATTTCATTCCCTAAATGAAATTAAGAGGTCTTCAAGTATTACAAAACATTTTGGCAATTTAGACACATTCAGTAATATTTTTTTTTTTAAAAGTAATAAAATAAAAACGAAATAATACTTTGAGCAAGGATGCATTAAATTGTTTAAAAATTACAGTAAAGACTTTTTCACTGTTGCAGAAGATTTCTAATTCAAGTAAATGCTGTTCTTTTGAACGTTTTCCTCATCCAAGAATCAAATCAACATTAATGTATCACGGTTTCCACAAAAATATTAAGCAGCACAGCTCGTCAACATTGATCAAATTTTTCTTGAGCAGCAAATCAACATATTAGAATGATTTCTGAAGGATCAAGTTACACTGAAGACTGGAGTAATGACTGCTGAAAACTCCGCTTTGCATCACAGGAATAAATTACATTTTAAAACACAAATATAAACTAGTTCTTTTAAATATTTCAGAATTACTATTTTACTGTATTTTTGTTTAAATAAATGCAGCCTTGAGATGCTGGTTTCAAAACATTAAAAAAAATCTTAACCCTAGATCAAACGGTAATGAGTTCATTTTAAATAAAGCCTGTAATTTAAGACATCTGTTGTGAAATTATTTAAAAATATTGTTAATAATTACAATCAATATACTAATCAATATGGTGATTGTTTAATGAGTATTTCAACAATTGGATGTCTTAAAATAGGCTGTGAGTCTTAGGTGACCCCTAATGGGCAAGTATGGTGCTTTCCATTGGGCAGCACCGATGAACTAGAGTGAACCAGTGAACTTTGGGTGACTTCCAAGAAAATGTCAAGGATGGCACAAACATGCTGAATGGACACCTGCATCTAGGGAGTGAGGATGAGACCAAGGTTGAAATGGAAAATGGTTCAAACTAGAACGAATCTATGATTAGAAAGTAAACCAAACAGAACTAATTAATTGTAGCAAAACTAATGGGGCAAGACCAATCAGAGGCAGAGTTGTCAATTTTTGCTTAAAAAAATACTGATAAGAACAAGGTATAAGTATGGCTTCCTGGACAAAGACTCCGATGCAGTGGCTGTCATCTCGGCTTTGTTGCTGTTCAATAAAGTCGTATTTTGGCATCTGGAACTCTGTTTCTTGAGTTTTATTTTACGACTGAGAAGACCATTGTTTGCTCCACAACACATCAACACCATTTCCTGCCTTGTTATTAGTAATATAATTATTTAAGGTTTATTTAGTGTAGTTCTGGTATGAAATCCAAAATCTCACTTACACACCAATACAGTCTCAACACTTAAAGTCCTTTCTGTTGTAAAAACGGTCATAACAGTACTGAAATGTCATCTCATTACCATTATAGAAAAACAGAAAACATGCAGACAACATACGTGGAGGTAATACTCTACAATGCAGTGATAGGCTGAAATTGGCAAACGTATTTATTTGCATTCAATGTAGCAAAGTGAATTAGTTACATAGACAAAGGATTAAATTATGCCAGTGCTTTACATGGGGCTATTGGGAGACCTACAGTACATTCATTGAAATGGGAATTAAATCGCTAGATCTGTCAATCTCATTTGAAAACTTAACATGATGACTTCAACAACTGAACGATCCGCAAACTTGTTTGCAAAGCTTTGTTGGAAAATAACCTAAATGCACTCCTCCAAACAAGAATTCCCTTGCACTGGTCAACATGGGCATTGCTTGCTACAGACTGATTCCTCTCGCTGACAGACAATCAGTAATGCAATATATAAAACCTGCTAATAAAGGGAATGTGTAAAAGAATGAAATGAACATTAACATCATAAAACCATAAATTCAAAACATTAAAATATTCAGACATGGATAAAACCGTATTTTGTAAACCAAATGGCAGGTGAAAAACATTTAAAAAGGAAAAATAAAAGCATTTTTAACCCTCAAATCGGTTCACTTTCTGAGTGAAGAAAATGTGTCCTTCATATTTACAAGCTTACAAAAGTAAATAAAACTAAGTAGGTCACCCCAGACATACTCAAGAAGTAACTCATCAGCGATAACATTACAAGATTACGTAGTCTTCCTGAATCCTTTCAGGATGGGGTATATATTCTCAAATGCTTCATAGATCTCTGCTCTAACCTTTGCACCTGGAAATAAAAGGAATTTTCATTATGCAACTTCAGTGTAGTGTTATTATACTAGCATTACATGGTACTATTTGTACCATTTTAAATACAACAGCCTCACCTGTAAGTACAACTTTGCCTGAAACGAATATTAAAAGGACGATTCTGGGTTTGATCATTCTGTAGATTAATCCCGGAAATAACTCTGGTTCATAGCTGGGGAAAAAGCATCAGCAGCATATTAGTGTTGCAGTTTTTTCATCTCAGTCAGAATGTTGCTCACACTTGAATAGATCAGAGGATTGCAAATACATTAGTATATCAGTAAAATAAACCCTTAATCAATATACAACCTAGGTGGTAAAAACAGTAATAGTGTAGAAAATGTACATTTATTCAGAACAAGACACAAAAGTATTCATTTAGTTTGAGATGTGATATTAAAATAATAATATTAATAAATAATAAAAGCAAACCTGCTAAACTGCTGGTGTGTAAGAACCAGGCCCTCTAATCGGATGGGAAACTTGACGTCGCAGCTGCCCACCATGTTCTGAATTTTGAAGTCTAAGAATTTAGCAGGAAAACCCAACTTCTGCACCACTCTGGCATATTTTCTGGCTGCCAATCGGGACTGTTCCTCACTGCAGAAGTGAGTGCACACAAAAAAGGCAAACTCGCACACTGCTGTTTGTTCTACAAGTTTGTGTGAGAGGAAGAAAATGACAGCAAGGCCGCAGGTGGCATTTCGTACCTTTTCGCTCCCGTGCACACCATCTTCCCTGAGCTGAAGATGAGAGCTGTTGTTCTGGGTTCTCGTATTCTCATGATGACGGCAGCAAAACGCTGAAAGTGTTATTGATGTTTATTTGTGCTAAATCGAAATGGATGTTTTTGCCAAAAAATACATTGCATAAAATGTTATTGTTCAGAAAATATAATCTACTCGTGATCACCTAGAACTGTAATCTTTGCAATAGGCCACAAATAAAAAAAAAATTAAAATTAAAAAAAAAAAATCACAAAAAAAGGAAATAAAAATCAAACGGTAAATGCTTTTTTAACCAATTAAAACTAGTCTTACCTTTGGATTATATTCAGCATTTCTGGCTCGAAGTGCTATCGTCTTTAAGTCAAGTTTGCACCCCAAGTTTACAGTGGACACAATATTCCTTAAATAAAATTGAAAATATCACTTTTTTTGTAAATACATAAAAATTGTAGACTGTTGATAAAGCATAAAGGGCACTCATGTTATGATCATCTCAGATATATTTAACAGCTCAAAAAATTTTTTTTTTTTTCATCTGAGAGCCAATCAACAATGTTTTTGCCAGGATTGTGTGGTGATGACAGCTAAAGAACTCACTGTAATTGGGGGACGATGCCAGAGCTCTCTGAGGCCGGTGTGGCAGGAGTGATGGGGGTCATAGGGGTGAGAGGTGTTGTATAAACTGGCGTGTTGCCTGGCAGTGCCGTTGTGGTGGAGACCTGCGAGTGGTAGAGCTGTGGCGTCTGGCCTGAAGCTCCCACCATCCCACCCTGCTGTTGTGAGGCTGCCTGTTGTTGCTGCTGCTGTTGCTGTCGCTGCTGCTCCTCCAGAAGGGACAAGCTGTTGGTATTCTGCACTGGCTGTGGTGTAAGACCCGTGCCGTACGGCATCATTGGACTGAAAAGGGGCAGGCCAGGTGTCATGGCTCCCTTTGAATAGATGCAAGGACAGATAACATTATGTACTGATGCACTGAAAAAGTTTTGATTAAAATATCTGCATTATGTAAAGGCTGGAATATACTACATGTCTTCTGCTCAGAATTACAGTGTGGAGGAGGAGATCTAAGTTGGCCCTTTTTTTTTTTTGGCTTTAGACTGATTCAAGTCGGAGGATATCAAGCATGTTTGATATTTTGAGCCAATTTTAGAACACATTGATGACATGTTAAAAAATGTGATTAAATTAAGTTAATTTATTATAAATGTAACAGTTCAATACTATGTTTATAAAAGAAACTATACAGTCCCTCGCACATTAATATTTGGGGTTCTGTGGCATCTAAATTTTGAAAACCCCTGGTTTAGTGTACGATGCCTAATGTTTTAAAATCTGTACAAATTTTAAAAGCAGTGTAGAGTGTTCCAGTGTATTATGCTTACTCGACACTGCATTACTCACCGGTGGAGATGCCAGCCCTTGAGGGAAAGGAGGGAGGCTGTTGTTCTGCTCCATATTGACAGGTTATGAAGCAAAACAACCAAAACAAAGTAGTGATTTCAGGACTAGCTTGACTCCAATAGCCCCAAAAGACCTGTGGTGAAAAAGAACACACACACACACACACACACACACACACACACACACACAC